ACTTAAAAGCTAGAGGCCGGCTAAGATAGAGTGTGGATGGAAGCCACACACTCATGCTTCAGGGGGACAACCTGTTTCTCTTTGCCTTTTGACAGTGTTGCTTAGGCTTTTAAAAAATATATAATCATTTACACATGTTTGTGGGTGTGTGTTTCATCTCAGTAAACAGCTTCACTAGGATTAGAGAAATGGTGATCATAGAAAGATACCAATTTTGCTTAATGTGCTGAAGGTTGTTGGATTAGGAGCAGGGCTTGCTTCTCTCGTGGAGAACACGTATCTCTGAAACAGTTGGGGAAGTTCTCACCCTTCTCTAGAGCAATTAATTGGGAGAATGTTAGAATAGTTGAGGCCAACTGCGGGGTTTTTATTTATAGGTAAAGAGGCAAGGGAACTTAGACCACAACAGAGAAATTTACTGAATGCTGTTCAATAAATATTCAGTTGGGGGGTCATAGCAAAATACATGGAGGAGTATTTCCTATATAGACAAATAACCGTAAAGAGAAGCATATAAGAAGACAGTGATAATGTCTCGAAGATAAAGATGTGTAATCTTTGAGACTATTAGAGGTGAGTGTGAAATGATTAAAAAATCTGGGATAAATTTTGAGTTTTTAGTTTTTGTGTTCCTCTTAGATCACAATTAATTAGTGAACGATGTAGAATACCATAATCTTGGAAGTGGAATAGACCTAGGTGATCAAGTAGGTGTACCATCATACTTCTCACAGGAATCTACTGTTTATTATTCCTGGCAGTTAATTATCTAGCTTCTGCTTCAACATTTCTAATGACAGAAGGGAAGGTCTCTAATTTCATAAGGCAATTCCTTCTTTTTTTGGACATCTGAACAAATCAACATCTGTGGTTTTTGAGGTGGTCTTGGCCTTTCATTGTTTTTGTTTCTGTACGGGTCCACGGGTCCATTTGTCTGTCTGTCTGTCTGTCTGCCTACCTGCCTGTTTCTCTCTGTATCTGTTTTACATGATAGATCCGTGCTATTTAAAGAAAGCCATTAAAATTCCCCTGTGATTTCTAGGCTCCATATTCTCCATTTTCCCAGCTACTCATACAACATGTTGTTCTAGGTCATACTTTAGCCTGGTCGTCCTCTTGTGCCCTACTGTTTGGACCTCCCTTTATCTGAAATAAACGTAATAGTAAAAAGTATCTCTCTCTGGTCTGCAGTTTAACTTTGTTTTGACATTTCTGACAGCCACCTAGCACTGGTGAATTTTATTGGTAAGTTCAATAAGTTAAAATCCCTCAGTATTTTTCACACATACCTTAGATAACCTTTAATATACCTGGATATTTGAACCATTGTTTCAATGTATTGTAATGTATTGCTTTATATTTGTAGTTAGGTGTTTTTTATAACTTCTATGCTGTTTAGTATGCTTTCTTTTGGTACTCCTTGATATATTTTCTGCTTTTTTCAAAAAACTGGCTATTGGTTTTATTGATGGTTGCTGTTTCATTGAGTTTTCTCTCATAATTTTCTGTTTTTATTGTAATGCCTTTCCTCCTTTACTAGCATTTTTGAGTTTGTGGGATTTTTTTTTTATTAATATGTGCATTTAAGGCTATCAGTTTTCCTCTGAGTATCATTTTAGATGAATTCCCTACGTTGTATTGTTAATATTTTTGTTATTATTTCATCACTGATTTCTTCCTTAATTCAAAAGATTTTTTATTATTATTTTTTTTAATTTATAAGGAGATCCTTTTCCTCTCATTTCATTGTTGATCATCTAGCTTTGTTATGGCCAGAGGACGTGGCTATGTGTGATTTTTTTTTTGGGGGGGGGTCTTTGAATTTATTAATATTTCCTTGTCACTGTATATGCGGTCAGCATTAATGTGTGTTGGAGGTGTTTGTGGAAAATACATATTCTAAGTTTGTTGGATATACAATTCTACTTTTCTACTTTTTTAGCATGTTGATTAAGAAATGCATTGTTTATACTATGATTTTCTTCATCTGTAGATTGGTGTATTTAGCTCTGATTGTGGATTTATTAGTTTCTTCCTGAAAATTTTAACCCTGTTTTTGCTTTATGTGATTTAAAGTGATACAATTTAGTAGATTGTACCTTTTATCTATAGGAAATACATATTTTTTTGTCCAATTACATGATTTTCTATTTGAATTCTTTTTATTCATGTTAAATAGTGTATTATTTTTCTGTCTTTTAAATTTTTAACCTGTATGTGCTATTTTGTTATAGGGCATGTCTCTTGTTTATAATGCGTATCAGATATTTTTGTCACTTAACCCAGTTTGAAACCTGATAAGTTTTTTTAGGCTGACAGTTTTCTTTATTTTTGCCCTACATTTCACAACCCATAAATCTGTTAGCTCCCATCTTATGATTATCTGAGATTTTAATTCCAGAATATTTATTTTAAAGGTGATAGAGCCTCATTTTCAGCCAGCCAATGATGAGCTTTACTTGTTTTTTGGAGCATTGAGATGTCTCCTTTTGGAACATTCCTCCCATTACTTAGGGTCTTTTGCTGTCTTGTACCTGTACTGTATCTTTATGTAATTATTTTAACAAGGGCCTGTTTCCTCAGTCTTGCTCAGAAGTAATATCTTTATTTTGTCTATCCTGTTGATTGCTAGTTTTTCTGGCAGTAGAATCTAGGCTAAAAATAAATTCTCCCCTGAACTTTGAGGATATCCTGTTGTTTATTTTAGCATTCAGTATTGCTGATGACAAGTCTGATGTCAGTTTAATTCTTATTCCTTTGTGGTTAAACGATTTTTTACTCTAAGTTATTAGTATTTCCTCATTGTTTTTCTGAAATCCTAATACAGTATGTCTAGATACTACCTTTTTTCTTGTTTTAATTTAGTCTGTTTTGGTAATTAGTCCTGTTCTATGGAAAAAGTATATATATGTTTTTAAATTTAACTCTGTGAGTTGTTTTTTCTTATTTTCTTCTCCTTTTTTTTCCCCCTAAAACTCATCTTCAGTGAAAGTTGTTGCTTCTGGGTATGTTCCTCATCTCTCTTAGCTTTTCTGTTTTCCCTTTGTATGCTATTTTGGGAGAGCATCTGGTCTTGATTAACTGTGTCTCTCTTCAGCTGAGTTCATGCAGCTCATGATTTGAATTTCTAATATTTGAAGTTGATTTCTTTTTATATCAGCTTGTTCTTATGGGTACAGTACACTTTCAGGATATTTAATATACTATGTCAGAATGTTCTCTGTTCATTCTAGCGATTAACTAGTTTTTGTTTGTTTGTAAGGTTTGGCATCTATTTGTGATTATACTCATTTTCATATTTGAGATTTCCTGTTTTACTTTGGGTCAGTGCGAATCAAGTGATTGTGAGGGGTTGGGAAATGGTACTTGTACTTGCTACTCATGGGAAATGCTGGGAATTTATCTTTTAGCTATTAGTCTTCCTTCTGTCTCTTTAATATCTGGGTGGGTCAACTAATCACATTTATAAATGCTGCTGCTGCCCTCGTTTATCATTAGCGTGGAAGAGATTGGGAAAAGTGGAATGGGTTTAACCACTAACATACAAATTACATGAATGTGTTTTCACTGTGACAATTGGAACTGGCACATATAAGTGAAACTCTGTATTTCTGTTCTCTTGTTTTTCCTCATGTGAATTGCTATAAACTAGTTTGGCGTTTATCCTTACAGACTTTAAAATACCACTACTTGCCTATATAAATATTTAGAAATATATCATTTCTTTGTTTTAAGACAATAACATATGAAATATGGAAACAGTTTATTGACTGCTTACATTTCTAAGTACTTTCTATCTAATTATCCCATTTAACCCTGATAACATTTTTAGGAGGAGAGTCATTGTTACAGTTTCAGTTTCATAGTTGAGGATATGGTGGCAAAGAGGGGATACGTTATCTTCAACAGGTAACTTAGCCAGGAAATAATAGTACTAGTATTCAGAACGGTGTTTGGCTCCAGCTTTTGCAGCACTAAAGTACTAAGAATTCTGTGGCTGCTTTGTTGTACACTTTATATTCATGCCCATGAAAGAAATCTACCACATTCTTCTTAACCTTTAATGTTCTTAGTGTGGATGCTTCACAGTATTTTCTTAAAGCTATTTTCTTAGTGATAGATGTTATATATATTTTTTTTAATTTAAAGTCTGTAAATGTCTATTTAAGGAATTTCACTTGTGATTCCTTCCACTATCAGTCACCTAAGTTCCTCAACTTAGTGGAAGGAATCACAAGTCAGACTCATGATCTTCAAAATAGTCCTTTTTTTTTTTTTTTTTAAATATTTTTATTTCTAGGAGAGAGAGAGAGAGACAGCGTGAGCAGGGGAGGGTCAGAGAGAGAGGGAGATACAGACTCTGAAATAGGCTCCAGGCTCTGAGCTGGCAGTCAGCAGAGAGCCCGACGTGGGGCTCGAACTCATGAACCGCGAGATCATGACCTAAGCGAAAGTCGGACACTTAACCGACTAAGCCACCCAGGCGCCCCCAAAATAGTCCTTTTAAAAAGAACTTTTTGTTCAGTAAACAGGCGTTGTCATCATTCAGTCTACAATTCTTTTGGTTGGGCTTCTTTGATCTCCCCCTGAATATGGACATACTTCAAAAATTCCCCACTTATAATTTTTAAGATCCAGCTTCTTTTACTTTAGGGCCTCATTTAAGGTCAGAGTAGATGGATCTACCTGGTTCTCTATTTCAGATGCCCTCTAAACATGAATAAGTTCAAATCATGTTCACCCTTGAACTGTCACACCCTAGAATTGTACAGATTATTGGGATATACCAATACTTTTAAGCCCAGACATTGTATTCTCAATTAAAAGCACCTAAAAAAAAAAGAAGAGATCTTTGTTTTAAGTCAACATTAAAATAAGAATACTAATTCAGTATAACTGAGATTTCCCTTATATCATATGGTTTTAGTAATTCTGTAGGCCTGGAACCACCTTCATGTTTATCAATAATACCCTGATTACTTTTATCTTTTTTTAGGTATCATGTTCCTTCTAATCTGTATCAAAGCTCATACTTGAACAGTGAGTTCTGGATTGCAAGAGAGGATTTATTTTTCATACTTTGTCCACAAATTAAACAAAAACAATTTGTATTTTTGCTATTTTGGTCTAGCCGTAGGTATCAATGATAACATTCCTTTTTAAAATATGCTAGTGTATCTTAAGGTAGACATCTCAAAATGTCTCCAGTGTGTCAAAATGGTGCACAGTTCTTGCCTATTTGCGTTTAAAAATGGTTATGACAATGATGTCTTCTACTAGCTGTGTATTGAGACTACTCATTGCTATATATCATTGCCAACTATGGTTGCCAATCAGATGTGTAAAAATGTGTTTTTTTCTGTTTAGTGTTTCTGTGATTATTAAGTTTAATATTTTTTCTTATGTTTGGTTTTTTATGAATTGCCTGTTTATGATTTTTAATTTTTATTTTGAATTGTTTGTCCTTTTTATTCACTAATTGGTATTCCTTTTTACTCAGGATACTAATTTCATATCCTTGTGCTTTTTAGTTTTCAAGTATTTCTCAGAATTTGTGGTTACATGTAGTGCTTTCTGTGCCTTTGAAAATTTTTGTGATTTCATATCTAAGTCTGTTTGCTGTTGTGCTGATATGCTCACTTGCTATTTTTTTTCTTCAAAAAATTGTAATTAGATTCTAGTTAGCTGACATACAGTGCAATATTGGTTTCAGGAGTAGAATTCAGTCATTCATCATTTACTCAACTGCTGTTTTGATCCATTTTCAACCATTTTTTTCAAAGTTCATTCCCTGTTAATTTGTGATGCTATCTCTATCAGGTATTGCATTGCTTGTGTCTGTTTTCTATATAATTTATTGTACTCATCTTTTAATACTTATGATAATAATTACTACTTTGTCATATGTTCTCACATCTGAGAAGGGCAAGCATCATTTTTTTCTTTTGACTTTCAGTTTTCTTCCTGTTTTGCCATTTTTTTGGCAGATTAATTTAAAGTTTGTTTTGATATAAATATAACTAGATGGCATTTTAGCTAGAATTACTTCTAATAAGTTTTATTGTGGAATAATTGATGTTTTTCTACAAGTCATATCCAATGTAGCTCTAATATTTCCTATATTTTATAGCTCTTGTGAAGCTTCTCATATGATATTGTTCCTAGATACCTGTCTCTTGTGATTCTGAAATAAATGCTTTCTTCATTGTATCTTCTGTGTGCTCTTATTAATTTTGATATGATTTCTAGAACAGTATTAAACATGTTATCACATTTTTTTGTTTTTGCCTAGAATGGAAATACCTGTGGTGTTTTATCACTAAATATAAAGTTTCCCATTGGTTTCAAGTAGCCTTTATGAACCTCAGGAGCAGTCTTTATGTTCTTAATTTTTATTTTTATCAGTGAGAGAGTGTTGAAACATATTCAGTGCCTTTTCATTATCTGTTGAAAAAGGACAGTTAATATTTGTAACCATTTTTGGTTGTGAATAAATTTTTAAATATGCTAAATTTTTTAATTATTAGAGGTACTTAAAATTGGAAAACAGTGAAGTTTGGGGTAAAAAAAATTATCTCTTAGAGTTAACCAGGCATATGAGGATAAAGGAATGTGATGAAATTGTATAGTTTCTCATCTCTTGACCTTAAAGACCCAACATAGAAGGTCTCAGTCACGTCCCACAGACTGTTCCAGTCTCTCCAAGAGCTGTCCTTTGTACAATGTATTGATTAGGTCATTTGTTAGCCATCAGGCATAACATGGCTAATCATATTTCTTCTCTTCTCTAGTAGAATAACTTCAGAGTCTGTTTCAACATGAAAGAGGTGATGAAAAAAGTTTAGGACAGAAATACAATAAATATTTGGAAATACCAAAATGAAGTCCTTCATCTGAATTTGTGAATCTTTTAAAAGAGCTTGGTGGCTTACTCTATTTATTATTGTATTTCTTTGGAATGTTTCTTTCTTTTTCTTTCCTTTTCTTCTTCATTTTGTAAATTCTGGAGGCTCTAGGCTCTGATAAATATTTTCATGTGGCAGAGAGCCAGATTTCAATAGCTCTGAACTCAGTATGTTCCTGTTGCTTAGCAACTACTTGTGAAGTCTTGTGGATGTAACTGAATTATAAATAGGGTTATGAGCAGAAGTGCAATTGCAGTTGTAAAGAAAGGCATACTCTTTCCCCTTCTCAGCTGAAATTTGAGTGATTCTTTATGCAGAGTCAGTTTTCAGAAATCTGGTTTATAAAAAGTAGGAGTACTAACCCTATCAGTAAGACTGAATAAGGGCTGTGTAGAGGTCTTGTTTACAGTGACACACTTGAAATCATGTTTTTGATTATTAAGAATAAACAGTCTGTTTTGAAGAGATAACAGTTAATGGAAAGTAGAGAACTTCTCCTAATTTTCATGGTCATTCATGTAGAAAGATATCCATGCATTATATTACTGCCTGTATTTCTCTTCCACATTTATATTAAAATCTACATGCAGTAACACTTTAATCTATGCTACATTTTTGTACTTTTTAAAATCACATTGTTTCTTTAGAATATTTTAAAATTATCCTATAATAGTGACCACTTAGGCATTTGATAAAGATTGAATACATGAAAAAACCCAACATATTTTTATCTTTTCTCAGCAGAACAGTGCATTTTGGAGTGGAATTTATCACAGTTTTATTTAAGAATCAAAACTTAAAGGATCCTGGGGCACCTGGGTGGCTCAGTCGGTTAAGCCCCTGTTCGGCTCAGGTCATGATCTCATGGTTCATGGGTTTGAGCCCTGCATTGGGCTCTGTGCTGACAGCTCAGAGCCTGGAGCCTCTTTGAATTCTGATTCTCTGTCTTCCTCTCTCTCTGCCTCTCCACCCCCCTCCACTACTCTGTCTCCTTTCTCTCAAAAATAAACATAAAAAAAAATTTTTTTTTAACCTTAAAGGATCCTTTCAGGTCTTCTAATTTCATTTCCATGTATTCTAGATAGAAAACTTTAGAACTAAAGATTTTATTAAATGATTTACCTAAGCCAGTAGTCCCCTCCATAGCTGAGTGTTTTTTTCTGCATCAGTCTCTTAATTGATGCATATCTAGCAACTCTTTTTTTTTTGCACTCGTATTTCATTAGTTTACACAAAATTTAGTTCTACTCTACAGCTTATAATAAAAACATACAACGGAATTCGGTAACAAGCACAACCAATATGAACAGGTTTAGATGAGAGCAGAATAACATGAGATCTCAGTGTATTTGTAGTTATCAGTCTGTATATTGATTGAATGGGTAGAGAATATTGGCTCATTTACTATGATGGTTAGGAGAGCAGTTAAGAGAGTTTCCAAAGTATAGTGTTATTTGGTCAGATCTCTGCTGATGGTTTTTAGGTTTTAAATGATGAAACATGGTGATGATTCATGGTTTTAGATGAAGGAAATCTGTTTTATTTAAATGTATCAGGAACTGTTGATAATAGCTTCTGACAGCCCAACCTGTGAAAAGTAAGCTGCTTATGAATATTTGCCAGAAACAGGTAGATTGTATTTTTATGCATTACTAGTGAGAAAAATTTTAGAATGGGAATATAATTTTTCTTTGCTCCCTAGGGGGGTGTTGGTCCATTCTGAGTTGTATGCCCAGGAGAGATCTTACCATCAAAAGCATGACTTTTTTCTGAAATTTTAACTGAAGAACAATAGGTTTATAAAGATACAGATTTGATTATTTTTTTCCAATCAGCCAAAAAAAGTTGTGGTAAATATAATTTTAATTAAATATGCAAGGAGGTCTAACATACCAACAGTATTGCTTTGTTATAGAAAAGAAAAATAATAGGTACAAAGAAGAATTTGAATTTGTTCCAGGATATGACAGAAGATTAGGGTCCTTCCTTTAGTTATGTTTGTTACTAAAGCTACACTTCTGTACACATAGGCTAGGGCCCCAGTACATCTGGCTGTCAGCTGACGTTCTTAAGGGAAGGGCCAACAGAGGGAGAATAAAATGGAGAAATGAAAGGTAAAGTTTCTTGAACTGTCTAAACTCCTCCAGGGCATTGTAGTTGCTGTACTAATTAACACTGTGTCATTGATTATTTAGTCCCCCTTCCCAAAATTCAGATTGGTATGTGATAAGATGTGTGACTATTTAGAATATTGTTATGCAAAAAACATAATGCTTTCTCTCTTCTCTTGAAATAAAACTGGCTAATATAAGGCCTTTTTTTATTTTAAAAAAAGTATAGCTGCTTTAAATAAATTTAAGAAAATAGGAAGTGCTGAGATTTATATTTAAAATGATACTTGACTTGTGTATCTAGAATCGTAATTTTTTCAACTTGTAGCACCTTGTTATCAAAGTTTGGCCCATTTGTTATGTTCTCCCACACTAATTATAACTCATGTTAACTCCTATTGCTTTCCTTTGTGATGAGGATTATAGTTTGTTTTAGATGTGAATACAGTTGTAGTTAGATTTTGGATATCCAAGTCACATATGAGTACAACAGTAAGAAAAATAAATCAGATAGTAAGCTTAGTTACTTTTCATTCAGACCAGTGTTTACAATAATACTATTTATGTTTTTGAACGCTTGGTTATACTTCATTTTAAAATCTAGCTATCTTAAACTGTTAGATTAAAAGGTTGTATTACTCAGTTTGCTCATTTGATTTTATATTGCTCATATTTTTCCATCCTTCACTGGAGCTCATTTTTGTTATCTAAAACTGTTTTATGTTCCTGTGTTTTAAGGCATTGTTTCTAAACCTTATTTGTGATTAAAATAGTTCTTTACATATAATTTTCATAACCAAATTTTTAGTATAGTATAGTATGGTATCAAATGTATGAATTCACTTTACATTTTGGATAACAGATAGTGACCAAAGAAAATTTTTAAAACTTAACTTTCATTTCATTAAAATACACTGATGGAAGTTTTGCTGTAAGAAATGCATAGAACATATACTTTGATAAATAGCATTTGTTTTAACATAACAGCAGGTATAATTTAATTTCTTGAAATTAAAATTTTTTTCTTTTCCTTTTTTCTGCACCTCCTCCCTTTTTGACTTGGTTGTTTCTTACTAACCCACAGTCTTCGTAGTTACTAC